TATTATTAGCTACGTCTGGTTCAAACGAACCTTGATAAATGACACTTGACCCACATCTGCTTAACGTGGACTACGAGCAATGGAAGCAAGTTTATTTGAAAGATAAAAAAAAAAAGTGAGCACTTGTTTGGCCAGTATGGGGATCGAACCCACGACATTCGCGTTATTAGCACAACGCTCTAACCAACTGAGCTAACCGGCCTCACGATGTATTTTGCTGTTTAACACAAAAAATTTCTTTCACACGTGGGGAAGCTATGCCAATTGAATTTTTCAACATCTAGAGCTATGTTATCACGTCTAGATTTCAACAAATATAACCAATATGTACCGAAACGAAAAACATAAAGTAATGAAAATTTAGTGTATTTTAAGATCAAATTATCGGTCCCTTAAAGTATTGTATACGGTTATAACAAATAAATTTGGAAAATGCACAGGAGCGTAACTGGGTTTTTGACGCCATTGGCTAATTTATTTTTGGCACCCTTTTTTAAAAAAAATAAAACTTTAAAAAATAGACATTTAGCGGCGCCCTTTTGAACTGGCGCAGGCCGGCGCCCTTGGCAACTGCCCCAATGCCAAGCCGTTGTTACACCACTGAAAATTCAAATTAAAATTATTTTCTATATATTTTTCTAGATTTCACTTTTCAAAACCGCGAAACTAACTTCAAAGCTGAATCTTCGTAACGGCACCACCCATACTCCGGTAACAGTAGCCCTAGACTGTAAGTAGTTTCAATGCCACGTGAATAAGTCATCGGGACGATCACTGCTAAAGATAGAGAACCGCATGGCCAGGAGACCCGCAAGTGCAGAATTGGGAGTGACTACTTCAGTATTGCTGTACTTCTGGGGGCAACACTCTAACCCCACAAATAAACACACACAACACAAAAACAACAAAAAAAAAAAAAAAAAAAAAAAAAAAAAAAAAAATAAAAAAAAAAAAACCCCCAAGTGCAGAATTGGGAGTGACTCCTTCAGTATTGCCGTACTTCCGGGGGCAACACTCCCACCCCCCACCCCCCCCCCCAAACAAAAACAAACAAACAAACAAAAAAAAAACAACCCAAAACAAAACAAACTCAATGTTACATGTATGACTAAAGCCCTTGCCACTATTAACTTACATGTTTAGTTTCTATTAGGAGGGGAGGGGTGCAGAGAAGGCGGTCCCTTTCGACGAATCTATCAGAATATAAAACACGATCAAACCAAGACAGGGGAAAAAAAAAGAATAAAAGTGTATAAAATTTAAAATAATTAAAGATCTCAACAAAGACTAAGACGTAATGGGAAAGGACATCTAATCTACTTAAGGCCTAAGCCTAAACGATATGTTATATGAATGTGTATAAAACTAAGTAAGCTACCGCAGAGTCAAAACGCTGTATTTACCTGACGTGAAAGGAGGAATAAATTGAATGTCAAATGTTTAGAAGTCACTAATTTACTTGCAAGTATTGTTTCACAGAATTGAAACAATATTATTTGGACATCCAGATTCTAGATGCAGGGTTGCATTTAAAAAAATCTGATTAAGTTAGAAACGTCTGCTCAAACAAGACATTGACCAATTAAAGCATTACCACTTCTCTCCAAATTGGACATTGACCATTTAAAGCATTACCACGTCTCTCCAAATTGGACATTGACCAAATTAAAGCATTACCACTTCTCTCCAAATTGGACATTGACCAATTAAAGCATTACCTCTTCTCTCCAAATTGGACATTGACCATTTAAAGCATTACCACGTCTCTCCAAATTGGACATTGACCAAATTAAAGCATTACCACTTCTCTTCAAATTGGACATTGGCCAATTAAAGCATTACCACTTCTCTCCAATTTAGACATTGACCAAATTAAAGAATTACCACTTCTCTCCAAATTAGACAGTGACCAAATTAAAGCATTACCACTTCTCTTCAAATTGGACATTGACCAATTAAAGCATTACCACTTCTCTTCAAATTGGACATTGGCCAATTAAAGCATTACCACTTCTCTCCAAATTAGACATTGACCAATTAAAGCATTATCACTTCTATCCAAATTAGACATTGACCAAATAAACGCATTACCACTTCTCTTCAAATTGGACATTGACCAAATTAAAGCATTACCACTTCTCTTCAAATTAAACATTGACCAATTAAAGCATGACCACTTCTCTTCTAATTAGACATTGACCAAATTGAAGCATTACCACTTCTCTTCAAATTGGACATTGACCAATTAAAGCATTACCACTGTCACGGTCAGATCGCGTGAGTTTTTTGTGTCAACTTCTATAATGTTAATTTGACCAATCGTGGGTGAGTTTATTTTCCCCGTGTGCCCCACGAGTTTTGATTTTTCTCGGTCAAGGTATGACCGGTGTGCTGTGTCTGAAAAAACCACATTTTTTGTCTTATAAAGGAGTGAGTTTTTCTACGGATGGAAGAGGACTTGTGTAACTTTAACTGTTTTGTGTAGTGGCATATAGGCACACATAGCCAATAAATAAGAAAACCTGAAACCCTGAATTGTTTGTTGATACTTGGAGCAAGAGTCAGCTCTGTAGGAGCTGGAAATAAAGGGGTTCTAGACCCTTGTAAAATTGTTCTGTGGCTAGTACAGAGGGGACCGACCCCTAGACAACGTACGTCACGTCACAACCACTTCTCTCCAAATTAGACATTGAACAAATTAAAGCACTACCACTTCTCTTCAAATTGAACATTGACCAATTAAAGCATTATCACTTCTCTCCAAATTAGACATTGACCAAATTAAAGCATTACCACTTCTCTTCAAATTGGACATTGACCAATTAAAGCATTACCACTTCTCTCCAAATTAGACATTGAACAAATTAAAGCATTACCACTTCTCTTCAAATTGGACATTGACCAATTAAAGCATTATCACTTCTCTCCAAATTAGACATTGACCAAATTAAAGCATTTCCACTTCTCTTCAAATTGGACATTGACCAATTAAAGCATTACCACTTCTCTTCTAATTGGACATGACCAATCAAAGTATTCCCACTTCTCTTCAAACTGGACGTTGAACATTAAAGCCTTTACATGTGTTTGCCATATTGAGGGAAAAAAAAGGGGGGGGGGGAGGGGCACCAACCCCAGCGTTATCACTGAATTGTTTTGTTGTGGAGCAATCAAGAAAATAATTTCAATTTTAGAAACAATGGCGCACAATGCCGCGTTTTACCCACCAGAGAGCCTACTCAAAGTTTATATTATTTTAAATAAAAGCATTGACTAAATGTTATTTTTATCATTATGCACTGCTTTTTCCATATTCACCTGCACATCGCAAGGAACCCCCATCTTTTGACTATTTGAGAACCCAGTGGTTTTCATCTCCAACGATATATATATATATATATATATATATATATATATATATATATATATATATAAATATATATATATATATATNGCCAAACACGAAGGATAGACTTGCGGGGGGGGGGGGGGGGGGGGGGGGGGGGGGGGGGGGGCGGGGAGTGGGGGAGGGGGAGGGGTTAGAATAAAAATAATTTTTGATAATGGAACACTTTCACGGAGAGTCTCGATGAAAGCAGTTGGGGCTTAGACTCCGATGTATTCGCGCCTTATCTATTCACGGCGCCTTGTTGTGTACAGTAAACTACAAACAGCAGGGCTATGTCAGGGCAGAACCATATTCCCGTTCTGCCACGTGATCTATAACCTCATGTTTGGACTCAATCTTTTAGATGTTCTGTTTCCTTTTCAGGACGATAAAGTCTCTTTTCATATCCACCATGGCACACAACCCTTCGCAACTGTCCGCCACTAAAGACTAATGCCATGCTTCGCGTTTCTCAACATACCGCACGGTACGTCTGACTTAGCTGATTTTAAAAAAAAAAAATATATATAGAATTGAAGACTGGATTTTTTTTCGCCCCCCAAAAATGTCCTTTGCAAGTATGTAAGATTACTTTGTCTTAGAATAAATCCAATTTCACTTTTGTCTAAAGCAAAAACAAAAGGACTGAAGGGCTGTTCGGATAACCAGGGTTCTAATATAATTAACAAATTGGCGCCCATTGAAAAGCCCTTTTAACTGTTTGTGCAAGCCAAAAAAAAAAATCATTTGAATAATGCTCAACATCCTGGATTAAAAAAAAATCTCTTGTGATGCAGGTTGTTGTAATGTTCTCAAGTTCCCAGAAAGCTTTAGAATTAAAGGTATGTAAGAATCAGCGTTTTTTAAATTATTTTTTAAAACCAACTTTTAAGTTACTCATTTGTCATGTGAGTGTGAGTGTATAATTTATCAACATATGTTTATCTTTGTTTTTTGGAATTAATTATATTATTTTAAACATTGAGCATCGGTGAAGCGCGCAAACTGTGTCACTGCTAAGCTACCGTATATTGCATTAGAGGAATTCCTCTTCAGCCTCCATATGCAGGGCTGAGATTTACAAATCCGACAATTTATTTTAACATGTTCATCACTGCCTGCCTCAGATACACGACCCAATCAAAGCATTCGGCCCTATCAAAACATTCGGCCCTATCAATGGATTCGGCCCAATCAATACATTCGGCCCAATCAAAACATTCGGCCCAATCAAAAAATTCGGCCCAATCAAAAACATTCGACGATCGAAACATTCGGCCCAATCAAAACATTCGGCCTAATCAAAACATTCGGCTAAATCAAGAAATTCGGCCCAATCAAAACATTCGACCCAATAAAAACATTCGGCGATTGACACATTCGGCCCAATCAAAACATTCGGCCCAATCAAAAAATTCGGCCAAATCAATACATTCTACCCAATCATTATGTTCGGCCAAATCAACACATTCTGCCCAAACAATTCATTCGCTCCATGTAAATCTGACTACATCACAAGCACTGTTATACTTGGCAATTAGAAAGTCTCAACGCACAAAGATTTCATTTGACGGGATGTGGGTGGGGCTGATAAGGAGCTTGAAGTCTCATGTTTCTTGAAAGTTGTTTATTAACGAAATGAAACATGGACAGTCACATGAAAGTCAAAGATGTCAGTGCACCAACTATAAGAAAACAGTTGCAGCTCCACATCTGGAATATAAATGGTGGCCCCAGCCTAGATGTAGCCCCCTCGGAGACGGCCCAGACATCTGAGTGTTGAATCTCTTCCAATATTGTAGTCCCTCAGCCGGTCTCGGTCCTTCAAGTCGCGGCCTTCTAAAGTGGTGAGACGTTGTTGGCTTCCCACGACTCCAGTGGCTTCATCCACCTTAGCTTTGAAAGATGCGACCGTCTCGTCTGCGTTGGTTTGTACAGTCAGAGTGTCACCGTTTAATGTTTTGACAAACACATTAAACTGACTGTGGAAATAAGTGTGGATAAGTATAAGCATTTCTATTCATTAAACAATTCATGATTCGTGTTTTTCAAGGAGGTGTTCAGTGAGTGATTTTGTGTGTTTGAAATCAAATAGTATTTTACTTTTTCAAACACTTAACATAGACTCATGAGGTGCCACATACAAGAGTTTCCCAAACTGTAAAGATTGGCGGACCGGTCAACGCGTTTCAAAATTCCACCACGGACCGTTGCCAGATACATTTATTGTATTTTCTTTTGACCATAAATATTCATACGAACCAGCAACGTAGGGCTCGCGGGCCTGGCGGACCACGGTTTGGGTAACACTGACCTACACGACCCCAGAGCAAGCAAGCAAAGGAAAAACGAACCAAGTATTTTGAGTAAGACAATATATATATATATATATATATATATATATATATATTCATACAGTCTTGTAATTCGTTATCCTCGCAAATGCTCCACATTGTTCAATTCCTTTTTGTGCTTTGAGGCAGAAGTCGGACCAACGAAATCTCAGCTTTTTTGGGACTTGTGGAATATGGTTAAATTTGCTTTCAGATAAGTTAAACAATATACCCAGACTAATTGAATACAAGCTCTTAAAGATCAATCGTTTTGTCCCATGACAGCATCAAAACTTCAATAAGGATGCTATGTGGCGAATGTTAGCCGTTTTGATTGGGCGGGGGGGGGGGCAGCTAACATATCAAACTGAAGACTGCAAAGTTGTGGTAACAAACTAACAACAACCCCCCACTTGAGTCACCTTACATAAAAAGGGGGTTTTGAAAGGTTTACTACACATTTGACCCCTCTTTGCACGCAGATTTAGACATAAAACACACACACACACACACACACATACACACACATTTTTTAATAACTTTTACCTGTTGTTTATCCATTCCTGTGTTCTATTGCCAGCAACGGCGTGTTGCTGGGGAAGTGATTGATCTTGTCCACTTCTCATTGACGATATCCCACTGTCTAGTGATCCCGAGGCTTCCTGAGGTCCATGTTGAATTTGATCAACGCCTGGTGTCTGCTGGGGGTGGTCCACACTTGATGCTGGTGAAGCTATAATTCGGGAAAAAAAAAAAATGCAGACGCCAGCGTCTTTATTGTAACATGGATGGAAACTTCAGTTTCAAATTTAGAACTCTATCACGCGCTGCCACTGTCTGTCACACGATGCGCTTACTGTGTCCTATCAATTTAAATCACATTGTCACACCGTGCGCCCCCCTCCACACACACACACTCTCTCTCTCTTCCCACACCAATCCTCAAGGTAATTGGAAGGATTATAAAATGGATGCGTTTACTGAATCAAGATTTCATGAAAATAAGCAATAGTAGAAATAACACTGGTCAGATTCCAACTGATAGTATGATGATGGCCATCTCTGGCAAGACATGAACTTCTATAAGTTGAAGATAAATTATTCTCTAATTTCTCTAGAAGACCGAAAACCTGACATTGATACCGTTCTTAAAATAAAAAATCGACGTTTTTTGTAATCGCGAAACTATACAAAAGGTTTCTCCTGCACCATTTTGTGTGAACATCTTGTGTCAGCATCTTGTGTCAGCATCTTGTGTCAGCATCTTGTGTCAGCATCTTGTGTCAACATCTTGTGTCACCATCTTGTGGGAACATCTGTCAGTGTCGCCCTGCATTATTAATAAAGATTTTCTTTCCACGCCCCTGGCTTAACTCGAGGAAGGCTAGGATGTTATTCCCATACTGATCGGATAAATTCGTAATACAATAATTTCCGTACTCTAGTATCAGAGAAATTAAAACTGATATCAACAAGTGACTAGCAACACTAACGCATTAGGTGAAGCTCAGCTCCATGTTTCATTCTTGATATGTTTATGGTAAGGGCAGTGGTTCTCAGCTTTTGTATACGATCGTTAAAAAAAAAAGTAAAGATTCTTGTGTTGTCAGTTTTGTCGATAATTTAAAATTATTTTCTACCAGTTTGTTTCAAAATCGTCTTTTAAAGAAATAATTTTTTAAAAAGGTTTCTTAATTTTTTAAACAAATAATTAAATTACCTATGGTTGTCAGTTTATTGCTAAATATTCAAGAAATCGACGATTTTACCGTTTGAAAGGTCAAGGTTTTTCCAAGTGCCGATAGTAATATTGTTGTGTGCATTGAGTGAACTTTGTGACTTGATTGGAATGTGTAGTCACGTGGTGTGGCTAGACGCGGTGATGTGTTTTCATGAATGTTTAAACTTAAAGGTGTGAATATTGGTTAGAGAAAGGAGTGATTGGTCATGTGATGTGTGGTATAAAAGGAATGTAGAATGTGGAATAAAGATTTGTTGTTCCACAGATGCTATGACAGCCTATGAATTGAGATACCTGTGGCTTATGCATCTAGGTCTTTAACAGAGTGGGGAAAAATATATGCTCAAATAGAAAAAGAAATGCTAGCAGTAGTATTCGAAGTTGAGCATTTTCATCACTATGTCTATGGGCGCCAGGTCACAGTAGCGACAAATCTTTTTTGAATTCCAGCCCGGCAATGAAATGTTTATCCAAGACCCTCTCTCTCTCGAGCATCCATACCAAGGCATTACCCATCAAGTGATGACTGGGAAGCCCAGGTTAACAGTCTACCTATTTCAGATGAAAAAATGAAAGTATTTCAAAAAGCAACAGCGGGCGAGGCCACCCTGAGACTTTTAAGGAAACAAAGTTTAGCTGGTAGGCCAGATAGAAGATCTGAGGTTCCACAAGAAATAAGAATGTATGTTAGATTCAAAGGAGAACTAAGTGAAAGCCAAGGTTTATTTTTCAAAGGAAAGCAAATTATAGTTCCGAAAATATTGCAGAAAGAAATGCTCAAGAGACTTCATCGAGGACATTTAGGGCGTGATAAATGTTTGGCTACAGCAAGAGAAGTACTTTTCTAGCCGGGAATGACAGATCATAGACCTTGTATAATTTGCTCAGTATGCAGTGAGCATCAAAGGCCCCAGTCCACAGATTAAGCCTGGGAGCAGTGTCCACAGATTGAGCCTGGGAGCAGTGTCCACAGATTCAGCCTGGGAGCAGTGTCCATATGCAGAACAAGCCTCGAAGCTCATGGAATCCAGTCAGCAGTAGTTATCTCAGAAGCCTCCACACCAAGTTCTTACATTGCCAAAACACCAGATGGGATGACACATCGACGAAATCAGAAACTGCTAAAAGAGACATTTGGCGGGCAAAGCAATTATCCAGATTTATTCGAACGTGACAGCTCCGATACAGCACATGAACCACAACTCAACAACCCAGAGGTTGTAAAAGAGACTGTAGTGAAAGTGTCGCTACCAAATGCAATAATTCCTATTCTAGCACATCCTATTATTTATTTATTTATTTATTTAGGCATTTTTTATATAGCGCTTATCATAAAGCTCTAAGCGCTTTACAATTATTAAAACATGTAAACTAAGTAAATAAAAATAGGACACTATTACAGGATATCCTATTCCAGCACATCCTTTTCCAGCACAAGTGGTGACAAGATATGGCCGGCAATTAAGTGAAACCACCAATACGTTTCCCTGATAGAGACATGTAAACTATACATTGTCAAGCAATGCAAATTAATATTTAAACTATTTGTGCACAAAAAATGTTGGGTAATAATTCAGGATTGCTATTGGAACAATGGTGTAAACGTAACGTTTTCTTGATTAACTGTTGATTGTAGTATTTAGAGGGAGAGGAGAGGGTATGTATGACAGATGATTGTTGTTGTATGCATTTAGTCGCCCAAAAAATGACACCCTTTAAAATTATAGAAAGTAAGTGCCACCACTGTAGACCAGTGAAAAAATGTGTCTTGCAAACACCCCCCCCCCCCCCAATTTGCTTTGCGAAGTACAGGTTTATAGGGATTTTATCTTTAGTTCACTAGTAAGGTTCTGACTGATGACAACCATTTTTTTTTTGGCGTCCGGGTCCACTTTGCCTCGCCTCGGACGGACCAATCCCACTAAATATTCTACAGGCCACCATTGAAACTGATGTGTTCTGCTACTAATGCTGTCCTGGATCGTGTTGATTATTTTTCTTTTAACATTAAAATTTACCTCGCCTCGGACGGACCAATCCCACTAAATATTCTACAGGCCACCATTGAAACTGATTGTGTTCTGCTACTAATGCTGTTCTGGATTGTGTTGATTATTTTTCTTTTAACATTAAAATTTACCTCGCCTCGGACGGACCAATCCCACTAAATATTCTACAGGCCAACATTGAAACTGATTGTGTTCTGCTACTAATGCTGTCCTGGATTGTGTTGATTTTTTTTTTTTTGTTAACATTTAGAAATTGTATCTTATCTGCAGATTTATCTCCATAATTAATGTCTCACAGTACATATAGCTATATACGAAATGAATAATTATTGTGTGCATGGCTAAGTAGATGAATGGAACGCTGAAAAAGTCCGTGCTTAACACTGTTAAGATTTGATGGGTGATCCGCGAACTTTTCTCCTGCACCGAACACTTTGGAGTTCTGTGATGTTTTCCCCACAGCTTTGTCAACAAATCAAAGCTCATGTAGACAGGGCCTTGTGAAGGGCGTAGGTTGCAAAAAGGGTGCCCGCCCCGGGCCCCAACTTTAGAGGGCACCGATATCGTATTTTTTCGTGCAAAATATAACTTTTGGGGAAGATTGTGACTAAATCCAGCCTTTGCCACGTAGGCGTCCCATTTCTGACCATGCTCACCTGTTATGGTAGCGTCACTTGCAGCACTGCTGACACTGCTGACGTTGCTTACGATGCTCGAGTTAGTCCACGACGTGTCAGAAACTCCACTGTCACTGCTACCAGCAACGTACATAGATGAGCCCTGGTCAGACATTTTCTGTTCATAAATAAAGACTACCTCTGAGACCACATATTCACATGGACATGACCTATAATCTACAGACGTACATGAACTATGATAAGACAATAGAGAATATTATATATGGTAAGACGAAGTGAATCCACTGCAGTTAGCTACCGGAAATTTGTAAGAAAGAAACTTGTTGAAGGGAAATTGTTCTAAGGAAGATTTCGGAAAATAAACAAGGGGGGGGGGGACAGACACGAAGAAAATTCATTTTATTACAAAGTTTACACATTCCCACTCACGCCTTCCTTTAAAAAAGAATACCTATTTTCTCACGTCGGGTGTCACTTAGGATAGCTACACCGCTGATAATAATATTTTAATTTAAACTTGGTTTAATTTATATAAATGTCACATGTTTCAAGCAACAAGTTAAATGCAGTAAATACATTTAAAAAAAAAAATCAAATAACAAATCATAGCTCGATTATAGAATAGTTGGATGAGTCAACAAATCTCATGTCAGGCCCCAAAAAAAAAAAAAAAAAAAAAAAAAAAAAAAAAAAATTAAAAAAAAAAAAAAAAATATTTTTTTTTTTTTTAAAAAAATTTCATACTTTTAAAAAAAAAAAAAAAATTTTTAAAAAAAACAAAATTAAAACACAAAAAAAAAAAAAAAAAAAAAAAAAAAAAAAAAAAAAAAAAAAAAAAAAAAAAAAAAAAAAAAAAAAATAAAAAAAAAATTAAGAACAAGTTAAACTGTATTTTTTTTTTTTTAAAGCGAGTTGCAGTCCTTTGATAACAGAGAATAATTTGTTCTATCTACCTAATTTGATCGCCTAATACAGATCAAAACAGACTAAGACAGATCAATACAGATCAATACAGATCAAAACAGATCAAGACAGATCAAAATAGATCAGGGCAGATGAAAACAGATCAAGTCATCATTTCCTAATTAATGAAAAAGAAACAATTTCAAACAAAAAAAATGCCTGTAGATGATTACGAATTCAGTGTGTATCCGTAGGCGCTGTGGCAGGTTGTCGAATGATGTCTCAAAACCTCCACTTCAATAAACTTCCCGAAAACTAAATATAAATGTGACGTGTATCGGAAATCCCATCTTTCCTCGTAACTGAAACACAGACCTGCCTACCCAATCAAATTTCTTATCATCACTCAAATGATGCCGTCTTGTGTGGCCCAAGCTTCTTGCCATCTCTTACAGGAATTATTTTTTTTCTGTTTTTTTGAAATGCGCACCTCCAAGTCTAGAACAAAAAAAATCTTAATATAGAGGGGCGGCATTTTTGGACATTTACTCATTATGTCACCCTCGCCGCCTTCCTTGTACGCAATACATGAATGACCTGTGTTTATACAGGACAAGATGGCGCTGTTAGTTAAATCCACAGACCCCTTGTGGTCGCTTCTATTGAAGTGCTTAGAGACGAGACACTGCTTATCTTGCGTAATATTACGAAGGTGTTCAGAACATCTGTCAGAGAGTTGGCGTCCTGTCTCATCCCTATACGACATCTGACAGCGGGTGCAAACAATGGTGTAGACAACACTGCGGATGGTACAAAGGAACACCCCCCCCCCCCCCAACCTTGATAAAAATGGGGGGGGGGGGGGCAGCGTTACCGCGACTTCGCACAAGGCCGTCTCGAAACTTTTATGACTTTTGCCATCATTTGCTTGACGACCATTCTCGTGCCGTTTAAAAGATCTCTTGTTGAGCCAAGGCATCGTTAGACCTTCACCAAATTTTACGTTAAGTCTACGCGGAGGTATACCTGCAGGTGTTTATCCACTCATCCATCCCTGGGGAGCTTTGGCCAATGTAAGGGTTTGGCCTGTCTTACCACATCCTTCCACCCAGACCATGCTTTTCTTTTCCATGCTTGATCCCAGCTGGTGTAGATCCCTCTCCACATCATTCATCATACATCCACCTAAGCTAGGTCTGCCTTTGAGCCGTTTTCCTCCAGGTGTTAAGCTGTTCAAACACTCCATTGAATACTTTGCTGCATGCCTCTTCGGCTTTTGCACTGCCTTGTTGAATGGAATCTATGCTGGTATAGCATTTCAATTCAGATTGAATTCGTCTAAGAACATTTTCATTCATTTCAAGTGGCTCGTGTCTTTGTTGCTATTTTTTGTTTTGTTTTTTTGAGTCAGGAATGAAGGTTTAGCAATTTTGTCATCTCTTGAATAAATGACCCCAGGAATACTGGAATTTTATTTGGTTTCGATTGTTCTAAGTTTTCTAAAAGTTTAATGTTTTTTTTTTTTTTAAATTTTAAAGTGAGTGTGAGAGAAACATCTAATTTATAATTTTGATTTATTTACTGTTAAAACATTAAAAGTTTGTTCAATATAATTTAAAGTTTATTTAGATTTCGTACTTAATTAATTTTATATAACTTGTTTTTTAATTATTATTTTTTGTTGCACATTGCTTGTTGAGAAAAAATTCTTGCTATGTTATATAAAAACCAACTTTGCCTGTTCAACGTATAGTTTTGAAAAGTTCCACTGGCTTGACAAAGAGATTATGTATATCTTTTTCGTATGTGTTTTGTATGTCTTTAAGAAATACATATAATGAAAATTGACTTTTAGTTCCCCTCGTGTAATGTGAGAAATTGTGCTTCTGTTCAAAAATGTGGGCTTCCTATCAAAGCGACAACCTCTTACTGATGCACAAGCAATCTGAAAGTTCTAACTGAATTGCCTAAAGAGATATAGGTTGTCAAAATACCCTTCGCACAAGGTTCCATCAGAGGATGGTACCACCAGTGCAAGGTGTCATCAAAGCAAACAGACTAGGAGTCCGAACGTGGGGAAGTGAGGAGGGGGGTGACAACGTGAGTTTACCGCACTTTGATACACCAACCCCCAGGGATGCCAGTGAGCAAAAGATAAAAATAGACGACTGGTTAGGCTAAATGCCGAGCTACAACAATATGATGGGTGCGTTTTTCTATTACAAGTGCATTTTTGCCAGTAGAAAATTCTTTGTTAAAAAAGAACTCGCTTTTAGTTTAGTTTTATTATTCCTTTTTGAGCCATTATTACACAAAAGACATTTTTTTTACACCATATGCAGTAATTTACCTCGGCTCGCCAACCCTTCACTTTAACAAACATATTTTGGCGTTGTGGCTAAAAAGTTTCCTCGTCCCCAGTTTCATCAGTATCAGCAGTTTAATCTTTAAACCAGGCGAGCTTCTGTAAAAAAAAATGTGGTGGAGCTGGGGAGTAGCTAAGGTGAGTGCCATCCGGGGCGGGTCAAGATTTTTGACACCCCATTCTACATAAAAACTATGCAGTTGGACGAAAATGCTGCACCTCAAATAAAGATTAAAAGTGCCGTACGGGGCGGACCAACCACCTCTTCGGCATTCTTTGATCGTCTAAAGGCAAACTACAGAGTTTTGAGCTCGAAGATATTGTCAAAGCTTCAGCCTCTTGGTGTCGCTGCAGACAGGTTCAGTTAGATAAACCAAGTCTTAATACCGAGTATTTGTGTGAAAAAAAACTTCCAGGAAGAGAAAACTTGAGCGAGGGATGTCGCTGTTTCTTACATCAACGTCCCCTAGGTATATTGTTGATATAAAATAATACTCTCTTTTTTTCTGACAAAAAGAACCTAAATGGTGGGGAAAAGGGGAAAGGCGGGAGTCAGAAATGTCCCTGTTTGGAAGGGGTGAACATTTTTACGCAAATCACAACATTATTCAGAAGTTCTACAAAATCAGTATGATAAAACACACTTTTAAATAAGTTGGATTTCATGTATATTTTTTATTCATATCTGAGGGCCCTCGATCAATTTATTGACTTTTTAAAAAAGCTTAATTAAATTGATTCAGATTTTAATTTAATATTCAAAACAAAACTAAAGAATTAAATGATTCAGAGTCGTAAAAAAAAATAATGCTTTAAAAAGTCCACAAGAGTTTTTTTTAAAAATAAATTAAAATAAATTAAAATTTCAATTCTAAAGTGACAATTTTTAAAAGTGTAGCTTTGACAAAATAAAATAATTTGGAAATGCAACTTAAATATCCATGTAGCCATATTAATATCTGTTGAAATGATTACTTAAAGAAGACTGGAGTCTGACATTGATAAGTAAAAACGTGAACAAATTGTTGCAAATTAACCAATGACGCAGGTGTAAAATTATAGAATTTTAAAGAATGGTATTAGTACCAGTAATAAAATTCTGTGACTTAGTAATATCTTTACAAACAACTAAATGAATCATATTTTTTTTTTTTTAAATATTTAAAAAATCAATTTTGCATACAGCTAGTCAGTACTCAAAATGTTAAATGCTGGTAAATGAAGAATGGGCAGTGTCAAATAAAACATAATTATTTCAAATAAAAAAACAGACTAAAAAAAATAATTTAATCACAAAGCAGGTATAGCATTTTACCATGGAGCAACTCTCCAAGCAATGGCCTGCTATCACCCCCTTCCCCCACCGTAAAGTTATGGAGCACAAGTTGGGTTGCCTAAAAATACCTGTATGTTGAGGTTTAAAAATAAGCCAAGCCCTACACCATACTAAGCTGTATAATAAAGATATTAATAACAAACTATTACAATTTCGTTAATAGCTCAATAATTCTTAACATTTTTTCAGGAAATCAAAGTATCAAATCTAGACATTGTTCAAAAAGAATCTTAGAAGGCCTTTAAATTTCTTTTTAGCTATATTTGAAAAAAAAATCATAATCTAAGAGTGGCGAGATGGCTGTGCCTTAAAAAAATTGTGTCAATTCAATAACATTAATTAAGTGATTTTATTTGTATTTTTGTACAATGTAACTTGACATTTTTGCAGTTTTTTTTTTTGCAAAGATAGTTTTATTAAGTCCTGTGTTTTGGGGATCACATTGCCCAATGAATTCTGTAAATCAATAACAGATATGTTAGCTGGAGATTGTGAATTTATGCTTCAATCGTTTGCTTTATGTACTGAGTGAAGATACTTCCTCCCCCCAATTTAGAGATTTTGCATTCATTAAAGCAGTCCCTGGTTTCTGATTGCTTTTTGGTATTCTTATTCAGGGGCCATGAAGGCACCAATGCATTTTGTCTTTGGTTTTGTTTCAATGTGACATTCAAATCTGTATTGATCTCCTTTACTTTTGATGATGCCATTCGAGCCTTATTTTCACACTGAGTTGTTTTCAGGGACTCCTGATTTGAGATTGTCTTGTTTATGATATTTTCTGATGTTTCCTTTGGGATGTCACCGACAGAAGAGAAAATAAGAGCTAAAAGTATTTTCTGTGTGAATATGTGATTTGGTGTCAGCAGCTGATACACTGAAATGCTATTTCCCCATCACATGAAACAGATGGCCCTGATGCTGGACAATCTTACTAATATAATGAAATTCATTCCCTATATCTTAAAGCTATTTTATGGAAATTGTGTCTTATTTCTGTCTTGTGTACAGATTTATCCCCCAAGCCTTTTGTTTATTAAAAGAGAAGACTCGTTTTTTTACATTTTTTTTATTCATATGATGGGGATTTCTTTTCTTGTAACAGAGTAGATTATTGATTCTGCTTGGGCTCAGGAGAGGGTGGTGTTTGATCTGTGGACTCTTCTGAACCCGAGTCCTCATATATTATACGATTGTGTTTTATTTTTTTTCGATATTGAGGTTTTTGTTTTCTCCTCCGTTTCTGGGCGGGCGTTTCTGTGGTGTTATTTGGGAACACTTTTATCTTACAATACAATGTGCCACCCCCCATACCCTGGAATCGTCTGCAAGCATCAGTCCCACATTCATAAAGTGATTCACGCGGATCATTAATGAGTAAATTGCTTTCAACAATCCTGCTCTCGTGCTTTGGTGACCCAGTTGAAAGAAACGATTCAAAACACGACATATCGGTCCGGTCGCTGATGTCCGTACCGAAAATTCCTTTAGTACCTGTCACAATGGGGACAACGCTACGAGGTTGTAGCACTGAAACAAAATCCCGCAGCTCTGTGTAGCTTGAGTGGTCTGAGTAGGGAACTTCAAAGATTTTGGAACGATTTACGTTTCGACCTTTCAGACCTAAAAATAGAGAAATTGCATAAATATTTTACATTCGTCTAACTTTTTATTCAAATTATGCTTATAGTAACCAAATAATCTAAACATTTATTTTATATATTATATTTTTACCGGAAATTTGATCGAAAGAAATTTCGTTGATGGAAAATTGATCGATAAAAGTTTGATCGAACGGAAGTTTGGAAACTAATCTTTTTTTCAGTTCACACGTTAAAATGTTCGTCAAATTTCTTTTTGAACACACTATGCTATATAGTAAAACAAAATAATGCTTTAAAAAAGAAATTTAAGCAGTATTTTAACGTGTGAATTGAAACAAAGATTCGATCAAATTTCCGTTCGATCACATTTCCGTCGATCAATTTTTCAGTCGACGAAATTTCTTTCGATCAAATTTTTGGATACGCAAATACTCAAACGCAGATGTACAAGGTTTGAATTTTAGATTTCATGTTTTATACAAAATATTTAGAAGACCACAAGGGAAAAAACGGCAGGGTCACATTTTTGTTGTTTTGAGATATTCCATTTTTAAAGTTCAAAACCATGCACATTAAAAATATGTGAACAAAATGTAATTTTTAAAATGCATTTCACAAGAGTGTCCATTTCCCTGAGTTATTAAATAGATAAAGTAATTCAATATTGAATGTAACATGATTTATTTTATTATAGTAGAGAGTGAGGTCAAAATGGACTCTGCCGTTTTTTCCCTTGTAGTAATTTATCAAGGTTTGATCATTGATAAATATCTATTTAAAACTATTTCATAAGTAAATATGCACATTTAGGAGTCACTGACAAATTACGTCACGCTCAGAGGGGGTGGATCGAGAATATGCAACTTTGTGACAGGGGGAAAAAGGGGGGGGTAAAATTGTGACGTCACTTTTTTTTTTTACCTCTAAGTTTCTAATTCTGAAAAAAAAATCATAATTTAATTAATTTTTAAAACATTGTTTTGATGTCAAAATTACCTAAGGTATTATAATATAAGTACCATGAAACTCAGTTTTCTAATAATACTACATCTAAATCATTATGGCAGTGGTTCTCAACCTTCCTAATGCTGCGACCCTTTAATACAGTTCCTCATGTTGTGGCGACCCCAAACCATAAAATTATTTTCGTCGGTACTTCATAAATGTAGAGGATATGCATTTGCCGATTGTCTTAGGTGACTCCTTTAAAAGAGTCATTTGACCCATAAAGGGGTCGCGACCAACAGGTTTAGAACCGCTGCATTATGGGAAAATGTTGAAGAATAAAATATCTTAATTTAGTTATGAAAATTGTATGTATGTTTTTAATTTTTTAGGTGATGTGACACGGGGTTGGGGGGGGGGAGAGAATAGTGACATTTCGTGACAGGGGGAGGGGATGTCTAAAAAGGTCATTTTTAGCGTGACGTAATTTACGAATGACCCCTGCCATAGGCAAATCATTTTTGTTGACATTATAAATATAAGAATATGGATCATGCCTAGAACTATCATTAAAAAATATATTATTAAGAATTTAACCCGAACATCAGATTTAAAATCATACTTTCTAAGTTTCTGATGTGCTTCTTACAATTTTGGCCCAATATTAGTTTTTTTTCTCTAGCAGTAGCTGTATGAGTAAAATCCTTAAAGAGTAACAGACTGAGATAGCAAGACATACACTCGCAGATAGAGAGTTCAGGGAGAGTCAGACACAGACTTAGAGTGACCGGGAGAGAGACATACAAACTAACTGAGATAGGCTGACAGTGAGAGACACAGACATGCAACAAACTGATAGACTAGACTCTAGTCACTAGAGCGACAGCGAAAGAGACGAGACAAACCACACACATTAATTAAATGAATTTAACAAAACAAGGGTAAAATCTGATTTAAAAATACAAATTTTAATGTTTTAAGTCCAATTTATCGTGCTTATGTTAATTTGTTTTGTGTTCTTGTGGTAGGAAATTTAAAAAATTCAGGTCTGTCAATTAACTTTTTCCTCGGTTTGTCGGTCAGCGGAGCGAATCGATCGCCATCTTTAAATTTTGTTTACACAAGAGCTATCTCTCATTGGACCTTTAAATCACGTGACTTCAAATGTCACGTGATATTAGTGACTTAGCCCCCTTTTCCATTGTAAACATTGGACTCTGCTTCTTTTTCCATTGTAAACGGATTTTTCGTTTCCATTTTTCTTATGGACTTAGCCATTTTTTCTCCTTTAAACTTCATTCAGCACCTTCTATTTTTAACTGGCTATTAGTTAGGGGTGATAACTCGAAAAAAATTAAAAATGGACTCTGCCGTTTTTTCCCTTGAGGTCTTCCCTGCCAAATATTGGTGACAGCAATGCATGAACTTTCCTTCTACAAAAATTACTTGACAAAACATGACCTCAAGTAACGCACATTTAAGAATTCCAATTTTTGCTACACCCACTCCCCCAATGATACGTAACTGCACACTTTTTATTTCACGCCCATGAACTGTATCAATATACTGATGTCCCAACCACTTTTAAACCAAACATTTACTACACCATATTTAAATTGAGACGATTTCAGTTTTCCGAAAAGAAAATATTGTGCACCAAACGCAGTTGCGTTATTAAAAAAAAAATAGATCACTTGCCGGAGTATCGGGAATTATATTTTGCGCTGAAATGGAAGAAGTCACACCACAAGCAAAATATATAATATAAGAGATACTATGTTATGTATAGCCTAGAATGGCGTAGGGTTTGGCTTGTTTTAAAACTTTAACATAGAGTTATTATAAACAACCACACCTTGTCTACTTGGCTGGGGAAAAGGTTGTTTCCATTGAATGCGTTCCATTTGCTCTCAAGAATGCCATTAGGTGACGCAATTTCTCGATTTAAAAAAAAAAAGAACGCTGGATTCAATTATTATATTTAGCCCGTCGATTTCTAACCACACAAGGTGTTATATTATTGTGTGTATAAGTTAACTCTTGTATTTTGAGGATTGTACCTTCTCCACTCTTTTAAGTTGATTTGTTTTTTGTTTTTTTACTTCTGTTCACAAATTTGATTTTGAATAGAAATTTATATTTATATTTATTATTAAATTACATTTAGTAAGTATCACTAGCTTTGCTATCATTTTCATTGCATAATGTTAGATCACAATTTTGTTACGTTTGGTTCTTCTACGAGCCAGTTAATAACACTTATTTAATCTTCGTAAAATACTATTTTTTATTTTTTTAAAAATTCTACTTATTATACGAAGATCAATAAAAGAGGGAAATTTTCATTAATATAAAAATTGAATGATAAAACATACCAGCAAACAAAGCAGTTGGTTTTATAGCTATACAATGTTTGGGATATTGCCAGTACGCCCTTGTGAGATCTTGTAAAGGTATTGCTCTTATGCGACTCTGTTCATTCAAATGAATTGTGGTGAAAACATTTGTGTCAAACAAGTAATCACATATTTTGTACATCTCGGGAGAGACGGCTATTGTCTCATTCAGAGCTGCACCAAGTCTTCCGAGCATAAACTCTTTGCCAAGAGTTTGAACACCAATAAGAACATCGTGATCAGGATACCGTCTAATAATCTCCACTATTTTATCAAAGCATTCCTCCTGGGAAGGGAAGATACATTTTGGACTGCAATAGGTATTGTCCAAGTATAGTACATCTATCTTTCCTTTCAGAGTGAGGCAGGACTCGATTAAACTCTCTGAAGCTCTAAAGTCTCCGGTGTAGAAAATATTTCCAAAATCCCCTTGAAAATAAAACATGACAGCTCCGGGGCAGTGGTTGGCATCACAAGCTGTGACTGAAAAACTTCCACACGACGATGTGTCAATATGAACACTTTCATTGAGAGGAAGCACACGCAGGAGCTTGTTTGAAATTCCATACTTTGATTTTAATAGCTCTGCAGTGAAGCTTGAACAATGTACAGGTTTATTCCATGTTGAGGTTAGACCTATCGTGTGATCTCCATGCAAGTGAGTAAGGAAGTGAACAAGGATATCCTGACGTCCTTTAATTTTCCAAAAATCCACAGCGATATTGGTTTTGGGTATGATGTGCCCATTCATTGTTAATTTTAGATTTTGTTAAAATCGAGGCTTTAACATTAATTTTTGAGTAAATGATATCTCCCTGAAAAATGTGTGACCACCAATTATCGATACTTTTGTTGTGCACCTGGAGATAACAACAATACATTTAATTATTACAATTAATATGTAACAAATAATCTTAATTTGTAAATACAGCGAAGCTTTAGAAAAAAAAATATAATAAAGGACCCTTTTTTTTCTTCTCTTTTTTCGCTTAGAAAAATTAGTGATAATTTTTTTAAAGGCATAAAGCTTTTAATGTTAGAATTATATGCTGTTTTGTTATATCCGAGAAGCAGTCCTAGTTTGTAATAAATTAAATGGATTATAATTTCCCCCAAGCTACTTTTCATAAGCTTTTTTATTTATTTTTTATTATTATTTTTTTTTTTTTACAAAAAATGGGCAGTAGTTATAGGACCTAGATATATAGTACTATCGACTGTCACTGTCATATCGTGTGATTATGTTATGTGTCTGGGTTGATAAATTTAACAGTGAGCAATGATGTTTTCCTTTTTTTTTAAAAAAAACAACTGTTCTTTATTTCGCAACACTTTGACTCAGTCATGAATGCTCTATGACGCATTTTCGGTGGTGCGATTTAATTGTTATAGACGTCAAGTTGCATTTGTTTTAAAGTAACGAGTGATTGGTTTGTTGAGCTGGGTGCACGAATTTTCATTCTTTCAAATGTGAACACTATTGTTACTAGTTTGTTTATTGCGCCTTGTGTCTTAACGCATCATTTAAATAATTAAAGTATGTATGTATGGCATCTTTCCGTCTGCGGGAGACGATAGATTATCTTTATTGCTTGCAGCTCTTGGTGTGGCTGGTGAGACCAATCCTCGGCTGACAGTCTCTGTTACATTTCCCACACACGCATGCGGTGGAGCAGTATTTACCGGCCTTCCTCCTCGCTCTTTTTGCAGCTGTTTCCGCCCTGTTTTGATCCTCGGCATGTAGTGATCCTGCCTTCACGATGCCCCGCCATGAGGATCGATCCTCTGCCAACTCCTCCCAGTTTGAGATGTCGATGTTAGAGGACTTCATGTCTCTTTTGCATATGTCTAAGTATCTCAGACGAGGCCGTCCAACTGACCTTTTCCCTGTCGCCAGCTCGCTGTATAGCACGTCCTTTGGTATGCGACCAGATTGCATTCGCTTGACGTGTCCAAGCCAGC